GGCAACCCGCAGCGCACGGCGGTGGTTTCCACGTCGCGGCCGCGAGTTTTGGCCCAAAAGTGGGACTTCCAGTTGGAATTTCCGAACCAAATTTTCAGGGTTGCTTAAGAAGGGTTCAAAGATCACGTTGCCGTCGAGCACTTGCCAAAATTGTGACTGAGGCCGATTCTGCGAGGCCTCAAAGTCCAAATTTCGGGAAATTTAACAAGGTGGTGTTCAAAGCCGTCCAAATCCTTAACGGTGCGCAGAACAAGTTGCGTCTTCGGCGGGATCAATAAAGTGGAGTGTCCTGAACACGCTCCAGGTGGTCGATTTTTCAAATTTGACCTGGAGTTTGAGATAATCGAATTTTTTGGGAACATTGCAGCTCGGCCGGCGAGCCGCCGCGGTACCAGATTAGCACGCACAGGGGTTTTTGACGATACATGTTGCAAAAATGAAGCGCGCTAGACTCTTTTCACGCAGTGCTCCGCAAACTATGCCACAATCACAACCAAATGCCAAATTTTGAACCAGATAGGGGCCGGGGAACGTCCCTAAATGAGGACGGGAAAACGGCTCCGGACGCCGAAATGACAGACTTATGCCGCAGTGCTCGGCGAGCGGGGCGTAAGGGCACGTTTTTGGAGAATAATTGTGCGTTATAGAAGCAAGGTAGACTCTTTCCGCGCAGTACTCCGTAAACTATGCCACAATTACAAGCAAATGTCAAATTTTGAGCCCGGCAGGGGCCGGGGAACGTCCATAAATGTGGGCGGGAAAACGACTCGGGACGCCGAAATGACAAACTTTTGCCGCAATGCTCAAATGCCGCAATGCCCAAATGTCAAATTTTGAGCCAGCCCGGGGGATCATCCCCAAATGAGGGGGTGGAAACAGCTGCTGAAGCATTTTAAAGGCGCTTTTCAAACGCGTTTTGTTTTTCAAACTCGATGTTGTTGTTCGGCGGTGAGGTGGGATGGTGGGCAAACGAACTTGGACAGGCGCGCCACCGCCACCCGCTTTTTTCCTGCCCTCATTTAGGGACGTTCCCCGGCCCCTGCCGTGCTCAAAATTAGAAAATTGGTTTTGAGTGTGGCATACTAGTTTACCGCGTACTGGGCGGAAAGAGTCTAGCCTGCTTCGGTAACGCAAGATCATTCGCCAACAAAGGTGCCCGCATGCCGCGCCGAGCATTGCGGCAAAAGTTTCGCATTTCGGCGTCCGGACTCGTTTTCCCGCCCACATTTATGGACGTTCCCCGGCCCCCTGCCGGGCTCAAAATTTGACATTTGCTTGTAATTGTGGCATAGTTTACGAATCACTGCGCGGAAAGAGTCTACCTTGCTTCTATAACGCACAATTATTCTCCAAAAACGTGCCCTTACGCCCCGCTCGCCGAGCACTGCGGCATAAGTCTGTCATTTCGGCGTCCGGAGCCGTTTTCCCGTCCTCATTTAGGGACGTTCCCCGGCCCCTATCTGGTTCAAAATTTGGCATTTGGTTGTGATTGTGGCATAGTTTGCGGAGCACTGCGTGAAAAGAGTCTAGCGCGCTTCATTTTTGCAACATGTATCGTCAAAAACCCCTGTGCGTGCTAATCTGGTACCGCGGCGGCTCGCCGGCCGAGCTGCAATGTTCCCAAAAAATTCGATTATCTCAAACTCCAGGTCAAATTTGAAAAATCGACCACCTGGAGCGTGTTCAGGACACTCCACTTTATTGATCCCGCCGAAGACGCAACTTGTTCTGCGCACCGTTAAGGATTTGGACGGCTTTGAACACCACCTTGTTAAATTTCCCGAAATTTGGACTTTGAGGCCTCGCAGAATCGGCCTCAGTCACAATTTTGGCAAGTGCTCGACGGCAACGTGATCTTTGAACCCTTCTTAAGCAACCCTGAAAATTTGGTTCGGAAATTCCAACTGGAAGTCCCACTTTTGGGCCAAAACTCGCGGCCGCGACGTGGAAACCACCGCCGTGCGCTGCGGGTTGCCTACCCGAAATTCCCGTAAGGCGCCATGTTAAATTTGACCTTTCATAACTTTTTTCCTAAGGGATAAAAAAAATGCGTCTGCGGGTCAAAACGTTTCTTTTGGCCTTAACTATCGATGTGCAAAGCGGCATTGCATGCGGAAAAAGTGCAGGGTCCGGCCTTTTTGTTGGACTAACACCGGCCACTACTGGTTCCGACACGGTGGGCGTCGCTCCTACTCTCTCACACTCGCGGGGCGCGCCGCACACGCCCAAGGGTGCGAGAGAGAGACAGCGCGCTGGCGGCGTGTGGTGCGGCGTGGCGCCTCCCTTGTGCCGAGGTGTTGGAGGCGCTAATGCTCTTCCTTTGACGGCGTCCTCGCGCCAGAGAGCCGCGGCAATTGCCTCACGACACGTACTGCGTGCTGCAGCGTGAGTGGCACCTGAGACGACGCGGGGCGGGGCGGGGCGGGGCGGGGCGGGGCGCCCACCCTCCATACAGCCCGCTGCAGTCACACGGGTCCAATTTCAATTATTTGCCAAACCACGCCACACGCCCAGCGACGCCCATCCGAGCTGCTTTCGATGTGTCTGCCGTCTGGGACGACGCCTGTCCAATGTGTTGCAATTTCCTAAACCCGCCAATGAAAACATCCTGAAAACCGAAAGTGTCCGTCTGTCGGTCCGTCTGCCTGCTCGACAGCGGCCCCTCTGCCTCTCTCCACGCGTTTCAGCAGTAAGCGCGTGTGTTCCCGAAATTCCGGGAAGGAGCCTTCCCTGCGCAGTGTGGGCCGCGGCGCAGCGGCGCACCGCGGAGCTGCAGCGCTGGCCTGCAGGCCCTGCAGTGCAGGCGCGCCAACTGAGCCGCGCGCGTCTTTAATTGTGCGTGGTTGGCGGCACTGCGGGGCCGTCGCTAAATCACGTGCCAGGGCAGCCAGGGCAGCCAGGGCCTCCGTCTGGACCGCCGCTCGCCGAGACAGGCCAGTCGCCCGGAGATTTATTCGTTCATTCATTTATTTATTTTTTTTCCGTGGCTGCCTGCAGTTACGACCGAGCACCGCGAGCCGTCCCAAACCCACCTACACGAATAATTGTCCCCCTCTCCTTTTATCTGCTCCTCGAAATATTTTTTTCGCAGGTAATTACACCCCTTGAGGACACCGGAAGCGGGTGGGGTGGCGTGGCCGTAGCGCGGCGTTGCTTGGGCCGCGCTGCCGATCTGCAAGGCCGCGCCTGGAGCTAGAAAACCGCAGGGTATTTCGAGAAATCGAAGCGGGAGGGTGGCGCATTTCGAGAAATCGAAGCGAGAGGAAGGTGCCGGTGCGTGGCGTCGTCCTCGGCAACATCGGCGGGGCGGCATGCTGCGGGTTTGCGGGAAGTCGGTCCCAATGCCGTCCTCGCGGGATTCAGGGAAACGATTGGCCCGCAGGACTCGCAGGACTCGCAGGACTCGCAGGGCCCGCAGGACTCGCAGGGCTCGCAGGACCCGCAGGACTCGCAGGACCCGCAGGGCTCGCAGGACTCGCAGGGCTCGCAGGACTCGCAGGGCCCGCAGGACTCGCAGGACTCGCGGGACTCGCAGGACTCGCAGGGCTCGCACTCGCAGGACCCGCAGGACTCGCAGGACTCGCAGGGCTCGCAGGACTCGCAGGACTCGCAGGACTCGCAGGACTCGCAGGGCCCGCAGGACTCGCAGGGCCCGCAGGACTCGCAGGGCTCGCGGGACTCGCAGGACTCGCAGGGCTCCCAGCGCCCCACTCCGGCGGCGTACCCGGAAACCTGCCGAATTTTAACTCCAGCGCCCGGAGTCCTGCTGGCAAACCGCGATGCCGAGGGGAAGGGTTGTCGAAAGGGAGGTCCGCGGCGGTGGCTTTGCAAGGCCCTCGAAGTGCTGCGACGACTAGATAGCCGACGGCGGCGTGGCGACACGACGCGATCCATCTGCTTTTGACTGGAAGATTGCGGGCCTGGAAGTGGCCGGAGGCGGCTGGAATGGGAGCGTGTAACTCCTCGGCTCCACCAATCAGGGCCCGGCGATATTCAGCCGACGCGGCGACGCCAACGTCCACGGCATCCGCCCCGCCGGCCGCGGCGCGCCGCAGCGCCGGGCAGTCAGCTCACTGCGCCTGCCACCGATCCCGAACGGTTTCGTCGCCCTCTCTGTCGCACTCGGCGGCCGCCCTGTTGGGTGCGAGAGGGACAGGGCGACGATGCGGTTCTTCGGAATCGCCCGGCTGCACCAAGCCAGGCACCACGCCCGGCACGCCCGGAATGCCGAAATAAAGGCCGAGCCCGGCCGATAGCCCCGCGGAGCCCCGCGGAGAAAAATCCGGCGAGAAACGACGAGACGAACCGGGCTGGCCGCACCACCTGTGCGCGGGGCCGGTACGGCACTCGCCGCGTGGCGGGGCGGGGCGGGGCGGGGCCGGCCGGGGTGGCGACAGCTGTTCATTAAGTGAGACCTAATTACTGCCGAAATGATGTTGTCACATGAGGAACCCGCTCCGAGCTCGGCCGGGCAGGGCCCCCACCGGCCACACCGCGTGGTGGCGGGGCGCGGCGGGGCGCGGCGGGGCGCGGCGAGGCGGGCGCTTCGCGGTGTTCGCGGTCCGACAGCCCCGCGGCGATACTAGGAACACGCCGCCACGCCGCGCGCCGGCCGGGGGGGTTTCGCTTTCAGAATGCCTGAGTCATCCACTTAGCGCGCCGGGCAAAAATTTGGGGCCAGCCGCGGCCAAGTACGGCACGCCGAGTGAAGGGGTGGGCCTGCGGCCCTGGGCCTGCGACGGGGAGGACGCTCTTCATAACCTCAGAGGGACACACCTCCCTAATTTAGCCCCACTTTACACTCCAAATTCGCAGGTTGACTCTCCGCAGGCCGAGCGCTGACTTTTCAAATGACAGCCCCCGCCCACGCCTGCGAGGCGTGACTGGCTGCAAATGCGATTATTTGCAGTGGGCGCACAGCCACAGGTGGGTGTGTGGTGTTTGGGCCGAGCCAACTCGTCTTGGTTCACGAATTGGACGCGCGACTCACGGATACTCACCGGCCACTCTTGGTGATGACCATCTCGGTGCCCAGCTTGTGGAACTTCTCCCACAGCTCCTTGCTCTCCAGGGTGACCTTGGGGTCGTCCACGACGCCGTCGTCCTCCGGCGGCATGGGTCGGAACGGCCTGGGCACCATGGCGGGGTGCGGGTGGTGGCCGGCGATGGCCGCGGCCAGCACGTCCTCGGCCGACGCGTAGGGGTGGCCGGGGGGGAAGCCGAGCGGCGACCCGAGGGGGTGGTGGGGGCCGAACTTGTGCAGCAGGCCGGACGGGTAGCCGGCAGCGAACGCCGCGAGCGCGGCGGGGAAGTTGTACGGGGCCCCGGGAGGCACTCCCACACCCCCGGCGGGACCCCCAACACCAGGACCGCCGGCACCGGGGCCGCCCGCGGGGCCACCGCCGCTGGCCGCGCCCCCGCTGCCCCCGCCGCCGCCCGCTGCGACCACCGTGGAGCCGCCGACGCCGTTGGAGTCGGAGGAGGCCGGGGTGGCTCCGCCCACCGTCAGCAACGAGCTCACGCTGCAACAGAACGGGGAAAACATAAGCAAGAGAACGTGAAAACATAAAGCGAGCGCGTGTTTGAACCCGGGCCCGAGCCGAGGCCAAATCGGGCGCCTCGCCGCGCTGCCCAGCCCTGCCCTGCACCGCCCTGCCGACTGCTCGCTCCGCCAATTACGCGCCTCTCGCTATCGCTAGCCGTATCGCCCACCGCCATTAGTGCATTCGCATGGACTCGGTGCGTGCGGCACCGCCAGGGCGCCGCCGTGCGCGTGTGTTCGCGCGCGCGCGCGTGTGTGTGTGTGTGTTTTGCGGATCGCTTGTGCGGGTTTTTCTCGATACATTGTTGGCACCTGTTACAGGCTTACATAAAAGAAACACTCAGCTGTGCAACAGCCCAGTGAGCATTTTTTTTTACGTTTTCTTTTTTCAATTTTCTCGCTGTTGGTTTTGAGGTTGGATCTTCCTGCGCCGCGGGAACGGAAACGAGGCGACATTAAGATGGCCGTCACAGATGGGCACGTCGAACCGTGAAACGGATTTTCGAGCCGTCGTGGTCGCGATCCTCGATCTCCGCCTCCACCTCGCTCCTCCACTGTACGCCCCGCACCCTCCACGTCATGTCCTGCGCAGAAACGGCTCGGCGGGGCTCGGGCCGACGCGAAGACGCGGGGACGCGTCACTCGACGCGCACAAGGCCCCGACTGTGCGGACTCCCCCTTGGACTCCCCCGCCCCGCACCCCTTCTTCGGCCTGCCCCGACCCGGCCTGCCGCGGCCCTGCTGGCGCGCGCCGCGCCGCGCTTTCCAAGCCCACCGCGCGTCGCCGCGTCACGAGGAGCGGCGAGGCATTAGTCACAAGCAGTCTCGTTCTTGTTGTTCTCGGTTGAGAAACAATCGAAAGCCATGTCGTCGCCAGCAGCAGCGCCGGCACCGCGGCGACGCAACAGCGCCGCGTATCACTGACGCGGAAAATTGCCGAGCGACCGAGACTCCAAGAGCGGCTCGGCTCGGCCCGGCCCGGCGGACCGCCCGCCTTTCAAAGGTGGAGGAGCTGGCCGCGCTGCCCGCCGATTCGTAATTATGATACTCGCTATCTGGCGGCCCGGCGGCGCGGCGCGGCGACGCTGGCGCCGCCAGGGCGTCGTGGCGGCCGCTGGAACTACGCCGTCATTACGCCGCGCCGTCCAACAATCCGACTGGTAATGGTGTCGTGATGGCGGCATGCCGTTATCACGGACTGGATGGCCATGCCATTACGGTCGAGTGTCCCAGTGTCCCGCCACGCGGCGGCCGGCTGTGCCGCCGTGGCGCAGTCGGTTAGGGGGCAGGGCTGCAACCCGGAGGACGCGAGTTCGCGCCCCGGTCGCGGCCCGCGTTTTCCAACGGCCTGGAACGGCGCGGCCGATTTACATAGCAAGGGTCTGGCTGCGTTCTGCGCGGCGCGCCACGCCGAGCGGCGAGCTCTTTGAAGCAGGCGATGCAGGCCGCGCCGCAGGCTTTGCGCCGCTTGCAGGCCAATTACACTGTCTCCGGATGTTTCCGCGTCCGCCGCGGCGGGGCAGGCGGAGCGTCGCCGAGCGTCGCGGCGCGCGGCGTGCTCGCGCTGACTTACTGTCGCGAGGAAGCACATCGCGGTGCGCGGCGCGCGGGCAGTGAAAGTCGCTCTTTTGGCGTGTTTTTCTCTGTCCTTCTCCCCCACTCGGGATGCAGGCATGCAGGTGGGCCGCTGGCTGGCCGCTGGCTGGCCGCTGGACCACCACGACGCCCGTCTAGTGCAGCACGTAGCACGCCCGCCCTCCAAATCTCGCCGGACGCGTGACCGGACTTTTGATTGGCTCCGGAGCGGACGCAGACCGCAGCATGACGGCCTGCAGGGCCTGCCGGAAGGGGCGGGCCCCGCCGGCCAGAGTGTTCGGTCAGCGCGGCCAGCCTCCAGCCTCACAGCCTCCTCCTCCGTCTCCCCGAAGGCCCCGAAGGCCCCGAAGGCCCGCCGGATGGAGCCATTCCTTTGTTGCATACACGGTACGCCCCTCCACCGCGCACTGCAGCGCTGCGGCACTGCAAGGCACGCACCGCATGCCCGCCACGTTAAAAATTGGCCAGGGATATATTAAGCCTCGCCGGTCAGGGGTCGTGAATGGGGACGGGGTCGCTGACCATGTCGACGACCATGTGGCCAACCACTGCGGTGCACCATGGCACCATGGTGAGGACGTCATGGCGTCCGATAGCCATTGAATAATCCAGCCGGCCGGCCTGTTGAGGCCCATGGCCGTGACGTCGGCAGCGTCGCCGCCCTCCTCCTACTCCAAGTACCTGCCGCGGTACCCCGCCCCCGGACCGCCGGGCCGCCGCACCGTCGGACCACCATGGTGGCGAGCCAACAATCATTCAATCGGCCCCTTCGCTCCCATAATTTGAAAAATAGCTCATAATCCGGAGCCGGGAGGGGGAATTGAAAGGCCGGTGTGGTCCACTTGCTGCTGCCGGGTACCCAATCATGGTGCTGGACGGCTTCATCCAGCGGCCCCTCCCCCTTTCCCCTTTCCCCTTTCCCCACCCACCGCGGGAAATTTCCCGCACTCGGCGCGCATTCCCGCCGTTTTCCCTGACAGAGGCCCCCGGCCTTCCGCCTGCAGACCGATTCCAAGAGTCGCGTCTGTCTCTCTCACACTCATGAGTCGAGCCGTATCGGTGCGAGAGAGACACAGCGACGAAAACGGCTCTCGGAATGAGTCTCTGCCGCTCATTGAGTCATGCCGTCTGTCGCGGCGCCACTCGCGCCACTTGCATCGACTTTCCGCGGCGTCGCGGCGTCGCCGCCCTAGTTCTCCGTGTCTGCTCAGACACACGACGAACCGATCGTCGTCGCTGAAATATTCAGCCCCCCGTCCCGTCCCGTCGACGGCGTCCTGGCGGTGCCGTCTGTCGGTGCCGCGCCGCGCGGCCGCGCCCTGGATGCCAACACCGGCGTGCATTATTGGTGGACGTGCTCAGTGGCGGCAGAGAGGCGCCGCGGAGTGGTGAAAATTTCAAATTACCGTTTGTGAATATCCGCTCGCGCATCGTTTTTCTTCATATCCGCGGCATTGCACCGCACGCGTGGTGCGCCACACCTGGCGGGCGTCGCCGCCACCGCGACGCAGCCACGCGATGAAGGGGCCACCTGCATACTGCACTACTCGGCCTGCTCGGCCTGCCCCGCAGCGCGCCGATCGCTCTGTCTCTCTCGCACGCATTCCGATGACGGACGACGCCCCGATGCGAGGGCCAAGGGCCACTCACTCCGGGACAGCTCCAGGATTGACGGCGTCATAACCAAAATGTCGTCTGCACTATGTTTAAAAAGTCGGCGGTAAAAACGCGGCGCGGTGTGGCTGGCGTGGCTGGCGTGGCTCTGCGGACTCTGCGGCGGCGTACCTTGGACATGTGCCAGCGGCGGTGCCGGGCAGTCGCGGGCAGTGCACTGGGAGAGACGCGCACTGCACGGCGCCGGCGCCACGGCGCGCCACGGACAGGACAGAACACCCGCGGGCGGAGGGGTTCCCGTCCCACCGACTCGCACAACGGCCGTACTTCCATTGCAAGGCGGTATTTCACTTCTGACTTTCATTCCCATTCCATTTCCCCTTGCTGTCAGTGGACTTGGGGTACGAGTTTTTTCGACCTTGGAAATTGGTGTTTTAACGGTTCCATTCAAAAACGGCGACGAAAACGTGCATCCTGATGTGTCTGCTGCCTTGCACTACCCTGCGTCCCGTCCCCCCTGCACAATGAACTCACACACGTACGATCGCGCACACGGCGCACTCACGCACACACCGCAGGCGACGTCCTCAGGGTCCTCAGACTGCGATGCCTATCGGGCGGCTCGCTAAATATCACCGCCAATTACTCGCTGGGGTGGCCCGGTGCGGTGCGCTGCTGTCGCCACACTGCAGACGGGGCCTCAGTGGGCCAGAAGACCAGTGGAAGCGGCCAAAACTCTAGACGCGTTTTGAGCTCCAGAGTCGCAAAATGGGACTAGAACTGAACGTGTGACCCCACCAATGGATTCCTCGTTCGGAGAGCAATCCATTGGTGGGGTCACTCTGGAGCTCAAAACGCGTCTAGAGTATGGCCGCCTCCACCGGTCTTCTGGCCCACTGTGGGCCGGTGAGCATCACTCCGAGGCAGAGGGCTGCAGCATGGCGGCGCCCTGGTACAGTGCATCCAGTGCGTGGGGCTTCGTCAAGGCTTCGCGAGCAAGATCCACGCATCCGCCACCGCGCCACGGCGCTCTTACGTGCTTCTCGACCACAACACGCTGCTGCAGCGGCGCTGCACTGCAAGGCGGGCCTCCGAAACCACGACATGCTTCTTGCGCGTCAGGAAGTCCGGCCCGGCGGGCAGACTTTTTCGCAGACGGTTTACTTGACCATTTTCCTTTTTCGCCGAATAAAATTGCGGACCTCATCAGGCAGGACACCCACACACGCCCGCGCCCTACGCTCACACAGACGCGCGCACACACACACGAGCGTGTTCGCTATCATGGCGGGCTGGGGGAGGATAAGACCTAATTCCGCGCGCGGGGGATAAACTTTTTTTTTTGCCTCCGTCCGCCCCAAAAACGATTCGCAAACCTTTTATTTCCTCTTTGACTTGTATATAA